CGCTACATGGCTTATCCAAGGAGGCATGACTTGGGCATCTGGCTGACTCCAATTCCAGTGCCTTTAACATCACACCATACTGTTCCCATTCAGCCTGCATCTCTCCATGATACTCAGTCCATCCCTAAGGCCACTCCAAAGACACCTGCTTCTCACTTTCTATTTATAACAACTTGGAAATAATTTCTCATTCAATAATAACTGGTGGCTCCAGTGGTGGTTCCAGGTGTTGCACCTCAGTACTGGACCCAGGGTGCCCTCTGCAGGCCACTCCAAATGTTATATGCAAGGGACTGTGCTGATTGGCTAGGGGACACCTCCTCCCATTTATCTGACTATGTAGAAAGAGGAGAGAGGGGGTGGAATACCAGGTTTCAAGCAGGTGGCGGAGGCTAGGGAGGCAGGTAAAGGAAGATGGGAAGAGGGCTGTGGGGTTGTGGGGCTGGGGCAGATGGAGGACAAGCAGGGTGGTGGGGAGCAGCTGGCTCCTGTGACCAAAACCTCTAATTCTTGAAGTCTCTGCACTAGTAGAGAAAGTGTGATGGGGAAGGGAGGTGGTGGGTGGTCCACACGCATCTATAGACATGCTAGGGGATGCTTGATTTTTGGTGAGTAAGTAAGCGACACTGGTGTGGAAAAGAGGCTTCTGACTCTCACATAATGCCCAATTTCAGATAACAGTTTGGACCCTAAAGATGTCAAAAAGTGAGGAGTGTGACAGCCATCATCAATGCCTGTCATCATTATGGACAGTGATCTCTCCCACAAAGAGGCTGAGTCTCCTGCTGAGGACCAGGTTGAAACTGGGAATAGGAAGAGCTCCCCTGACAGAGCAGGAAAGGCTTGTAGATGTATAGAAATGTCCTGGAAGTGGGGCTTAATTGGTTAAAATCCACTAGTTACTCCATGGGAGAAAGAAGGGCAATCTCCTGTGTGATTTACTGCCTCTCAAAACCTGCTGGAGAGTCAGCTATGAGTGGGTTCTAACTCCACAGTGCACAAAGCCAATAATACAATAAAAACCAAAGTAACAGAAACAAAATAAAGGGAAGAGGAAGGTCTCTCACAGTAAGAGCTACACTCTGTTAATATGCAACAAAATGTTGTATTTTTATACTTGCGTTTAGAAACATTTAAGGAAAAAAGGGTTCCCCAGAGAGCTAGAGCATGTTCAATTTTCCCCCCAAACGTAAGTTATTTCTTCTGATTTCATTAGCCTGGGAACGCCTCTCCCCAGCACCAAAGTGTACCAGTAAATACCATGCAAGCTGAGGAAGCTTAAAGGTCTGTTTAAAACCCAACTTCTAACAGGCTTTTCTTCTCTAATTTCATGGTTTGTTTGGAAAACTGCCCAACTATGACATTGTATCATCTGGTAGAATACAACCCTGGCATGGGGAGTGATCGCTGAAATACAGGTACCTTTTCTTGCACTTGTAGGAGATAAAGCACAAATTCAAACCCAGTCAGAAGAAGGATTTTAAAGTGCCAACTAATAGGAAAATAAGAACACTCTATCATCAACTAATTTTCCAAACACAAACTCTGAGAAGATAACGTAGCAGTGGTATTCTCTGGTGGTACTCAGCAGAAAACTGCACATGAATTCAAGGGTTTGGTCACAGACAGACAGCCCTCCTCTGGCCATTCAGAAAGGGAGGGCCAGCCCATGATTCCAGGTAGCCTCCTCATAAAGCTACACACGGGAGTGGAACACCACTTTGGAGTCCTGTCTGAACATGTGGTCGGAGAGACCAGTCTCTGTAAAAAGATGTCATGCTGAGAAAGGTGAAGGGTCAGAGAAAGAGAGGAAGTGCTTCAATCTAGATGAACTGACAGAGTGACTGTAACAATGGGCTTGAGCAGGGCAGAGATTGTGAGAGTGCATCGGGCACAGGGCAAGGTTCAGCTTTGTTGTTCATAGGGTCACAATGAGTCTTCAGTAACTTGATGGCACCTAGCATCAAGTGTTGAAATGAAATTATGTTAGGCTTCGAATACCATTGTCACAGCAACCACAACACCAAACCAGTTAGCTACTGGGTCTTCAAGGCTCCAAAAGAAGGTTACAATGCTGCATCTTCTCCTCTCTGGGTGGTGCGGCCCCACAAAGCCCCAGAAGACCCTTCACCACTCAGGCCCTGGAGCTCTTGCCACAGGGAGCTCCAAATAGCAGCAGCTTGGCCCCAAATAATCTATCACCCACCCCACTCCTCGCATGACACTCTGGCACTGTACTGACTGTCCTAATATTGACTTGAACAGATAAAGTCTCAGAGAATGAAGTCTTAACTTCTCTTTGCAAAGTCTGGTAGGAAAAGAGGACGGGTGAGAGATGCTTTTAGAATTTTCATTTGCATGGAGGAAAAGGTGCTTTGTATCAATAATTCCTGGCAATTGAGGACGTAAGACAAAATGTATTCAACAGAGCTCAATAGTTGGGGTGGAGGCTGTGGAAGCTGATACTTTGCAGTCTCAATTCTCTTAAGACCACCTTCTAATAGAGCTTGTAAGTCCACTTCCAACCTGTCAGCTCCCTGCTTGAATAATGGTTCTAGGCAAGGGGGGGAAGTGCTCACCCCTCAGGGCTAGCCTGTCCTCCAGCCCCAGGGGACCCCTGTTTATAGTAAGCAGGTCACACCCCAAGATGGTAGTGGGGGAGATGAGGCCCTGCCCACCTGCTAGGAGCTGGAGCTGCCCGAGGCAGGAGCAAGGAAAACAGCTCTGTGTGGTTCACACCCCAGGGACCAGATTAGAAGACAGGGCAGCTCTGGGCATCTCTGATTTCCCAGCACTCCACCCTCGTTCTGGCATTTACATTTCCTTTGCAATTTGTGCATCTCTCGGTCATAAGGCTGAGGCCATATGGGATTCAAATAAATAACAAGCGCTGGTCTCATTAATAACAAGCACTGCAGTGTGCCCGATCCTGTGCTAATGGGGCTTTGTGCAGCATCCAGTTTCATTCTCACTGCCAGAGCAGCCAGAGACTGACATTAGCCCATTTTATAGCCATAGAAAAGATCCAGAGAGGTAGAGTGTCTTGCTCAAGGTCACACAGTGAGGAACTGGAAGGACCAGGATGCAAACCCAGGTCTCTGGGACTCGAGTGCCGGACAACTCGCAGATACTGCTCTCTGCAAAGGGATCTTTGGGAAAGCAATTCTGCCACGGCGAATGGGTGAGAATTCACACACTCAATGAAACACTCAATGAGCAGAAAGATTTGGTGGATAAATCCAATCAGCGTGAAGCAGAACCATGCCCTCATCTGCTCCTGAGCACCCCCTCCGCACCCTCAGCCCCAGGAGAATGCTCTCCAGTGTATCCCCATCACCCTTCTCCGGAGTGGGCTGTTCCTTCCTCGGAAATGAAAAATGCTGTTTGAATAACCGATGGTGAGGGAGGTTGGGCACACTCTGACGCAGAAATAAAAACCTTTAGAAAGATGCAATTTGGCGGATATTGGAAACCGGAGAATGGAACATCAGTCTATAAAATTCAACACGGCCAATAAAGCTAGAGCAACTGGTCAAGTGTTTTAGTGCTCTCGGCTGCCGAGGCAGGCGACACAGGCGCATGGCCGGGTGGCACGTCAGACAGGGGAAATTTTTCCTTGGCTCATTTTGGCCCCATTTCCATAATGTGCCTCATGATTTCTGAAGCACCTCCATGTTCATGCCATCAGCACAGTCGTGAAAGTGTTTAAGACTATTTCCAACATGGGATAAGCCTGACTCGCCAGCGCCCTCCCCACTCCAGGCGCCAGTGCTGCAAGGCCCCTGAGTGACAGGGCGACCGGACAGTGGTGTTCCTGTGAGCGCAGCAAGCCTGAGGCCTGTGCTCCATCACCACATCTGTGACCTCGCTGCCCTGAAGGTGTCGCATCTCTCCTACCTCCTCTGCAGACTTGATGCCTGTTTCTGAGGCTAGAGCCTTGGCCATTCCCTTCTGACATCCAGACCCCTCACAGTTCCGATTGCTCAAAACCCAACTGATGTCAGTGTTGTGAGCATGTGACAAGTTTCCCCAAGGCTTTTCTTCTCTTCCCTGCCCTTCTCTGTAGCAGGCCTTTGACCCCAAGGAACCCTGGGCGGGGCCTCCCACTTCCAGTGTATAGTTCAGTCTATGTGCCCAGCCCCACCTGCCCACATGCTGCTCCTGTTGTTGACAAGTTTCCTTAGTTACTCATATGTCGCCTTTTTATTTAGGGATAACAGATATTTCTATAGATGACTGCATCGACCATTAAGTAGGGAAACGCCAACCTGGGATATTGGATTCTAATACATCATCCAGAGATTGTAAACCACACAGCAGAGCTTATCCTTTCTAAAAGGCACTGTGTTAGGTGCTGGGACGATCAGTGCACAAGCAGCTGCCTTGCCCGCTTCTGTACCTCTTACAGTCTGGTGAGAGCCGACACTGTCTTTGGCTCTGACTCAACCCCGTGTAATGCCCTGGCCTTTGGATGAACATACCCTGCTGTGTCGTGCTCAGAGGTATTCTGGACAGGTCACATATGAAAGTATTTTCCATCAGGCCAGTGTCTGATTCCTCATTTTGCTAAAACCCCTGTGGGCTGGCATCCTTTAGAATGAATTCTACACACAGATCAGCCTCCTAATTCATGGGATGTCCATGAATTCATGTCCAGAGGGTTGTGGACTGTGGGTGCCTGCCCCCATCATCACTATCACGCAAGGGTGCTTGATGCGTGAGACCTGGATAGGGCCTTGCCATCTAATTCTTAATGAAATTGTACCAGTTGGGGTCTAGTTGGCCTCCCTGGATTCCACCCCCTAGGCGGCTTCCTCCAAGAGGGAAGCCTTTGGAAATGAGTTGCAAACATAACAAGGACCACTGAAATGCCAGTCTTCATCGCTTTCTACACTGTATGCATGCAACCTGCATACTTGGCACAGGGTCACTTGTCAGAAGAACATTTGAAGACACATCACAAGCTCCAAAATCACAGAGCCAAGGGACCGTATTCCTACCTTTAAGAAAGCAGTCTTTGCTGTGGACAATGACGATTTTCTTCTTCAACAGACAGGCGGCCCGGTGGAGCTCACAGTGGTTTTCATAAAACTGTCCATTAGAGCCGCACACAGGCATGTAGCTGGGCCTGCAGCCCTCCAGGCACCGGCACTCCGGCTCCCCTGTGTCTCCGTTGAGCACACACCGGCTCCCTCGGCTGCAGAACAGCTTTGCACAGGAGGCGGGCAGCCCGCCACCGAGCCCTGCAAGACACAAAGACACAGAAGGTCAGCGCGGAGCCCTGGAGGACGAGTGGGAGCTTATGGGTGGATTTTTGTTCACGTTTACAATAGCCTCTAGCAAAGCCTCCATTTGTCTGTAAGGTGAAGATTTCTTAGAGGTGGGGCTTGGGGAGCTCCACACAGCCCCTGGCCTCTCTCTGACAGGAGGCAGCCACTGTTGTCAGGAGCAGTGCCCTGCATGCAGCATTCAGCTTTCACGGCGGGCTGACGTGGAGCATCTCAGACCCCTGCCCGTCCTGAGACCTGTTGCTAAAATATTGCTTCTTTCTTTCTCAGGCTTGTTTTCCCTGCTGCCAGCTGTAAAATGAAAACATTGGTCATTCTGCGCTCACAAAGTAGTGCCTTATACTGGAGGAAGGAAGCTCATTTCTACTGCTCCCAGGATTTCAAAAACTGCCTGGATTGGAAGCCTATTGAAATCTGTCAACAAGACTTTTTAAAAAGCATGTTTATTTTCCCCTTTCTTCTCTTCTTTCAAATGTTTACCGTGTGATAACTTTGAGCCAGGTTGTGTGCTAGGCATCGGAGATCCGAATGAACGTGTCCTGCCTCTCTCACTCTCCAACTGCACCATTCCAGTTACATACACACAGATATCACTCTGATCTGAGACATAACGCAACCAGGGTCAAGAAGGAAGTCTAGCCAGGGAGCTATGTGAGCTAGGGAGCTATGCGAGCTAGGAAGCCACTTTTTTGAGAACAGATGGCCTCACGGACGATTTCCCAAGAGGCACAGAGGGTTTGAGGCCAGGCTACCAGTGGTACAGGCAGCACTGACATACGTGGGAAGTCTGCATGAGGGCCAGGGGTGAGGAGAGGGGGAATTAGTGTTAGGCATCATGGTAAAGTAGAGGCACTTTGGTCTGATATTGCAGGCATGAGGGAAGCCATTACTGAGCCCAGGGAGGAAGTTTGGAGTAAGAACGAAGTGCTCTCTAGGTGTACAAGATCGGAGATGGGGAGTGAGCGAGCCACCACGTCAAGGAGGCTAAGGCTCACCTCTTCCTCTGGGGACGACATAGTCCTCTGTAACACAGACCACTAGTAATGGCATCAACAGCCATTTCTCACCACCTAGTCCTTTCCAACACAATGCTTAAGCCATGGGAAAGAGCAAAAGCTCGGAAACAGGTTGCTTTGGGTCTTAGATCTGCTATATTTAGTTGGGTGTTCCACTCCCCTGTACCCAGCAACTCTTTCTCATTGCTGTCTAGTCAGAACCAGCACATAGCTGACTCTCCAGAGGGTTTTCTGCGGCTGTAAATCACATGAGAGTAGACTGCCCATCTTTCTCCTGCAGAGCTGCTGGTGGATTCAAACCATCTGCCTTTGGGTTGGGAGTTCAACTCCCTACTGATTGGTACCCAGCATCAATCCACAATTATCTCAGGCTATGGCTGGTCATCAGCATTTATACTTCAGAGCGCAGCATGGCTAGTCCTGTTAGCATGGCTGATAGGCTGGGCTCATTTCTGGAAGGCCATTTTAAAGGGACAGTCTAGATTTGTATCCATAATCAACATTATACCTGGACTGTAGTGGCTCCTTTAAGGCTTTACTTTTACCACAGGGCTAGGTGGTTGTTGTGTGCTGGAAAGTTGGAATCAACCCATAGCTGACCTTCTGGAGGGTTTTCAGAGGTAGTAAATCACACAGGAGGAGACTGCCCATCCCTCTTCTGCAGAGCAGCTGGTGGATTTGAACTGCATGTCTTTGGGACAGTGGTGCAGCTTCTTGCCACTAGGCCAGCTGGGTAGGGCTATACAAAAAGTGAGGTGATTGGGGTTCACCAAGGGAATTGGGCAACATGCTAACAATGTAAACGAGATAAATCACTCCTTTGAGAGGGACCATGCAAACCAGAACTAATGTGAGACTGGCCAGTCTTACCATCTCACCAGGTTTAAACTGAGTCAGTCCAGAGATGGAAAATGGGGATCTCATTACTATCAAGCAGAAAGAAGCAGACAGTGTACTGTGTCCTTTAGATGTTTATAAGCAAAAGCCAGAGACCAGAGCGAGACAGCCTTTAGGCAATTTCCAGGAAGCTCGGCTTGCTGACCCACAGAGCTAGAGCTCCTGCCCTCAGACCTAGGCTAATACTAGAGTCAGGGTGGCACAGCACTGGCAGAGCTAAGAGAGCTTTGTAACGTGCTAGAGCAGGGCAGAAGCCAAGGCTAAGAGGCTAAAACCACAGAACTGTTTACATCAGGCAGTGAAAAGATGTCTGAAATACCTAAATTGTAACTTCTGACTTCCATCATAAAGCTCAGAAGGAATTGTGAGTGTTGTCTATGAGTTCTGCGTAGCACTGAAGCCAATTCTTTAACCCAGTAGTGAAGCAGTGAGAGCCATGGCAGGGATGGCTGGTGTTAGCACTGTTAGGAGGAGGTGTGTCGGACCTCAGAGGAATTGGTTTTGTGCTGATGATGCTCTTGGTGTCCTTTCCCCTTGTGGAGACAGCAGAGGTCAGCCTGCCACACTGTTTTTGGATCACTCCACTGTAACAGTCCAGAAAAACCAGGCTCCTGCTTATGTGGCATTTATGGTAACAATAGAAAGCTGAAAACTACAGGAAATAAGTTAAACTCACTGCTGTTGAGTTCAACTCACAGCCATCCTGTAGGACAGAGAACTGCATCATAGGATTACGGAAGCTATAAATCTTGACTGCTGTAGAGACTACCACGCCTTTTTCCTGTGGAGCAGCTGGTGGGCTCGAACTGCCAATCTTTTAGTTAGTAGATGAATGCTTAACACACTGCACCATCAGGACTCTTTGAAAATGAAAATGGGTGTAAAAACCCAATAATTAAAACGTGGATGTAGATCTTAAGACCGTAGTTTTTGTGTTAAGTTTTAATGAAATCTTCAAAATACTCCACAAGAGAGAATGGCTCTGACAGTCAAGACTGAACCTTTAGCCTCCTGGGATTAAAATGTCTATGTAAGGGGAAAAAAAAATCCTCCCCCCCCCTTGTTTTTGAGTAAGTCTGCTTTTCATCATCATAGATTTGAAAGGGAAAAAAAAATCCGTTATCGTCAGATTAACTGCTTGATTCAATAACTCATTTAAATTCCTCCAGCCTTGGCAAGCTAAGAAATATTGACTTTTTCTTGAATCATAATAAACTAGAAGGTCAGGATATCTCTGAGCACTGTAAGAAGTGTAGCTCCTAAGCTCCTGTGCGAATCTCCTTTATCCACTTTGCTAATTGTTCGCGTGTCACCACGAAGACTCAGGGGCATGGCGGGGCCTCTGCTGGGCTCCTGTCAACATTGACAGCCCCAGTGGAGGGCCAGATCCGCTCACTCTCACACAGCTCTGGCTTTCTTCTGAGGAGTGTTTGATTAGCAAGGTTCTCTTGGGTAACTGGAAAATGGGTTACCCTGGAAAGTGCTGGCGGCTACTACAAGGAACTAATATAATTCTAAAAATACCAGCCTTTGTTTCTTTCTCAAGGAGGAGACAGGACAGAAAGCATTGCCACTGTTTCAATAAACTTCCCTGGGCTGATTGGAAGTGCACCCGCTGATTTGCCCAGTTTGAAGAGTCAGGTTCCAGTGGCTGGTCTCAGTTCCCCATCCTGGGCTTTCCCTCACTGTCAACCACTCAGACTACTCTCTCCCTGCAACTACCCCAGCTCCATCCCACCTGGGGTCTAGTTCTTCTGTGAGGCTCCCCTCTTTGAAGGCTCTGTTCTGCTCTTCTCCTTGATCTGGCCTCTGGAGGCTCCAGGAAGTTGGTTCTTTGTCTTTACAAGTCTAGCACATAATATAATAGGGATACCACCTGGTTGAATAACCAATGCGATCCCAGTGGACTAGGGTATAAAGAAACACATGAATATCAGAACTTGACCTCTCTGTCTTGATTTATTGCCACTTCTCCAACTCTGAGGTAGAGGCTGGGATGAAGAGGGTGGTGGTGTGGGTACCTTCTGAGAAGTTCGTCTCCCCTCACCTCTTTCTAGGAGGACAGAAGGGAAGCTGGAGGGATGGGAATAAAAACATCCCTGAATGTGAGTCTTCTTGGGCAATGAGAACTGGAATTCTGGAATGTCGAGAAGAAAGGGGCTTCAACAATCACAGAACCCACTCAAACAAAATCCAGTGGTGAGTGGAGGACAGTGTGTGAGCGCATCCACCACCTGCCTCTTTTGAAATGCCTGTGTGCCTGGATTTTAAGCAGTAATTCTGAGGATAGACGTACACATGTGTTCCTTGCATTCCACATTTGACCAGCTTGCACATGACTGGAGCTGTTTTCTGAGGGGAGGCGGTACACTCAGAAAACTCCTGCACCAGGCTGCGTACGCTGAAGTTGTCAGGAACGCTCAGGCTTTCTCTGATGTGGCAATAGTTTTTGTTCTTAAGTGTTTGCAATTAAGACACAAGTAAATTAAAGTCCCGCTATGCCCTTCATAATGTCCACTGAGAGTAGGACCCATGAAGAACTATGTATCTTGTCCTGTCCAGGGGCATTGCCAGGCCATGGGGGGATCTGGGGTGCCATCCACGGCCACCAAGAGGCTGACCATGAGAGGTTTCCTCATTAAACACGCCCTTCATAGCCGCTTCCTTCTCATTATTAAAATAGTATGAATTCTCCAGTACTCCAAGGCTGAGGATAAAATCTTAATGGAGAAAGTAACCAAGTGAGACCACCAGCAACTGCCAACGGTATTTATGAGGATGGCCACGATGCATGAAAAAGACATAATGTGTTTAATTTATGGTCATGAAGAAAGCCATTTACTCAGGTTAGAAATGGATCATCATGCCAAATAAGCTGCTCTTCAACACTAATCAAACTCACTGAACACATTGAGAACTGGGAAATGGTCCCGTTAACGTTATGGTATCAACAGAAACAAGCTCATGACTGCTAGGCTATGTCAAGAACTCTATTTGATTCCGGACAGGACCCTTGATATAAAAATCACATCAATTCAGAGC